TTTCATACGCGTGCTCGACGATCTTAAACAGGCTAGCCTTTCCCAAGTTTTAGAGATTTCTAGGCAATATTTCCTCCTTCCAACGAATTGTGCAGAAAAATGTCGTTGGGTGCCCCTCGTACTGATGAATTTTTATCGTTTGGAACTTTCATAGGACACGCTGCCTCGCGACACGCCATGTATTTTATATCAAGGGCTAGGGTGTTTCTTTCGGGGAATTAACATACGAGGTTTAATTGGGCTGTTTAATTTCTTAGAATGCAGGGAAAGTCCCATGGTTTCATGGCAATATTTTGAACTTAAAGTGTCGGAAGATGAAAAAAACGTTACTTGTTCTCACTCTGATAGTTGTGAATCTTTGAAGTTCATCCATTTTACAGGTTTAGCAACAAAAAGTGACGGGTTTTTTCCCTACTCTTTTATGTTATTCACGCAACGTTTTGTTAACTGATTATATGCAGTTGGTTGATTCTCCCTGTTCTTTTCATGACCAATTTTGATCTCTTGTGTCTCTCTCACTGACTGGGGTTAGAATACATTGTATATAAGCAGGGAAAATTGATATAAGTCTTACTATTATAGGAGCAAGATGGTTTTGTCTTTCTTGCATTCGCCAAAATCATATATTTATTTAAAATTCCTCTTCGTGTGTTAAGCGGTAGCAAGCGACATAATTTGTCTTTAGTTTCAGTTATATTTGTGAGCTTCTCTTTACCGTGGTGGCTGTATCTCTATACTAACTCTTTCCCGTTGATTACATCATGTCTCAATAATTTATCTGTTTAGCACTTAAGAGATGACAATACTTTGCCCAGCTTCGTTCAATAGTTGATTAATATTCACATCTGGGGTTCACTTATTTGAAGTCTTCATGCAATGACGTCTGCTTTTGGCTTGCATTTGAGAACAATGTTGAATTATTAAACTCATAACTGGCTCTGAGTTTCAGGAGAACGAAAGGAAAAATGTCGCATCGAGATTCAATAATTGACAATTCATTTATTTCGTTACTTTCCCCTTAGCATCGAAATCAAGCATGAATTTTCATAATTTTAAACTGCCTGTTCAGGGAAAGTCCTAAGTTCATTAAGCCGTTGCACAGTAGTCGCGAAATGAAGGCGCAAAAGAATACGTTTATATGTAGTAAAGGAAAGCCTGACTGTTTGGTAAATTTGAAGCTGCCCTAAAAACTATGTTTGTCCATACTTTCATTAGAGGATTCTAGTGAGCATTTTCCTTATACACAAAAAATTTTAAGGAACCCTTTTTTAACAATAATCGTTTTATGTTGGTAATAAAATTTGGAAAACTCAACCTCCGAAAATCGTAGGTACAGCTGCAGGTTAGTAAAAGAGAAAGAATTCCCAATATTCGCTTGCGGTTAATAAATCCCCTCGAATTCTGTTTCCATACGCACGCTCGACGATCTTAAAAAAAAACACAAAATAGAGGATATGGGAACAGGATAGCTTTTCCCAAGTTTTAAAGATTTCTAGGCAATATTTGCTCCTTTCAACAAATTTTAAAGAAAAAAAGTCGTTGCGTGTTCAACGATATAAAAATTCATCAGTAGAAATGCTGCCTCGCGACACGTCATGTATGTTATATCGAGGGCTAGGGAGTTTCTTTCGGGGAATCATAACATACGAGGTTTAATTTCCTAGAATTAAATGCAGGAACAGTCCCAGAGGTTTCAATTTTCACTTTCCTTTCGGTACTTCTGTTGAGACAGAATGTTTGTGGAGTACGTCGGCCTAGCTATTTAGATTTCCTAGTTTAAAATTCGAATATTCATTTTCAGTTCTTGAGATGCCAACTAGGAAATAAGAAGGGAGAGTTGTTTGTTTCTTTCCATCTTCTTGGAAAGCAAAACGATTTCTTGTTTATAATCAGTGGTAGGGCAAATTAAGATTTCTAAATACAGGCAGACTCTTCATCAACAAAAGATGTCAGGGGCGTAGCCAGGATTTTTCAAAGGGGGTGGGGGGGGTCACAGAGGCTACTCGTTATGTTAAGCAGGGACACCATCCGGGGATCGCAGACTATATATGGTTTATACCGCTGCTCTCCCTCGTGTATCAGCGGGCTCAGTCGTATTATCGCGGCATGAAGGTCCATGTTAACTTAAGACAAGAGCCGCTGACGAAAATACTTTACAAAAAAACAAATTTTAAAAAAGTGGGCTTTTCAACAATGGCTTTTACGGCCAAGATATTGTTTCGCCACCTGAATATTGTAGGTTGTTTGCTCAAAAGAAGGCCTACCAAGGGGGGGGGGGGGGTCACGGGCACCCCAGGACCCCCCCCCGCTACGCCCCTGGATTTTGAAAACTTTCACTTGATCGCAAGGATAATGGCTAACGGCTTTATTAAAGCACCAAGAAGCATTGCCTCCTTAGTTTAAACTATTTAGTTTGACGTCCAGCGAGTTGGAAAAAACCTTGCTTGGGTTTACGGTTTCAGAGCGATATTTTTAACAACTTAAAGTATCGGAGGATAAAAAAAAAACGTTATTTATTCTCAACGATACTTGTGAATCTTTTAAGTTCATCCATTTTACAGGTTGACCAACAGAAAGTGACGGGTTTTTTCCGTACTTTTTTATTTTATTCATGCGACGTTTTGTTTACTAGTTATATGCGGTTGGTTGGTTCTCTGTTCTTTTCATGAACAGTTTTGATTTTTTGTTTCTCTCTTTTCCTGACAGTTTAGAATACATTGTACGTCAGCACTGGAAATTGCTTTTCGTGTCACCTACAATTGACATTCGTGCGACATAATAAGTTCCGCATCGTTTGTTAATCTGTAGCAAGCCACATGGTTTGTCTTTAGTTTCAGTTTTATTTGTGTAGCTTTTCTTTACCGTGGCGGTATGCGAGTCTTTATTTTTCCCTGTTAACAGCGACAATTACGAAGTAGCTCGACATCCATATTTAACAAGGGACTGCCTGATTTTACTGATCTTTCAGAGCAAAAGAGCCTGTGATGGTTTGCTAGTACGTCAGGCGCGACAAACTTCACTCGCCGGAGGTAAGTAGTTTGGCTTGTCTTTGACTAGTTCAGGAAAGGGATATATTTTTTCTGACCTAAAATGGCAAAAAATGCATAATTGCTTGAAGAAGAGCTTATCCTTTTTAGTTTCGTTAAGAGTTACTTTGCATTTAAATGTATAAAAGCAAATATGTATGAGATGATGGGAACACTATTATGTGTAGAGATTATTTGTTATTTCCTGAATCAGTAACCTGGAGAGTATAAACTATAAATAGTTGATGACAAAATGAGAAGCATTTGGAAAAGAGTTTGCAGATTCGTCTATTCTGAAAAGTAAACCGAATGTAGAGCGCAGACAATATTTCGAAGGAAGCTTTCAGTTATCGCGAACAATTCAATTGTTTCTGAAGCATATTATACTTCAGTATACCTAAATACACAGGGGCACACAAGGTCAATTTTCGGATTTTTACCCTAAAAAGGTCAGCTACAATTTTCGGGAGCCTTTTTTCTGCCTGAAATTTTCGAAAAGGTAAGTTTTGATCCCTATGATCTTCGGACCACTAGACTTTCAGCTAGAAAATCCGAACAGATAAAAAATTTCTAGGGGATAAAAATATGCCTATATCTACCGTTTAAATACTAGAATACGTTTAACAATGCTATGTTTAAGTGGTTTTGAACTATATTCTCGTTGGGTGCCCCTGAATACAGAGCGAGAACTGGAGCGTGGATTCGAGCTAGGATTCAAACCGGGACTTCGAACGAGGGCTTCTTTAATTTTGCTTCTTACTAGAGGTTACAAATTCTAAGTGAAGTGCTGCGAGTAGACCGGCTGAGCGGTACTATAAATCATAACGTATAAGAATTCGTTATAAATTGGCTCACCAATATTTATAATATTTCAGGCAGTAAATTTATTGATTTTTTTGCGATTTACACCTGAATAACCATCAATCTGAATAATGAGAATTTTATATCCTACAGCAGCGTTATAAGTGCTGCCTTTGCCTTTAAGCAGGGAGCATCCATTGCTTTGCTGCTCTGATCAGAGAATAAATCGGTGTTGAAGACCTCAGTGGAACCGGCTTAATAAAGTGAACACGTTTTACTAGTTCCTTGGCCCTTATTTGTATCGATGTTCCAGTATAATCTCAATAGGCCTATTTGGCTAACTCAATGTTGTACCCAATTCAAACCCTTTGGGAATAAAACGTTTTGTTTCAGGAATTTCCCGTTTATCATTTAAATGTGAATACCACGTTATAATGCAAATCAACACAACGAATCTTAACCCCGGGAGATTTGAATTCAGGGTACAACATTGAGTTAGCCGAATAGGTATTGTTTGGTCGCTAAAAACTTCTGGCTTGCTTTGTCAACGCACACTGCACACAAACTCTGCAGCCAAGGAAAGACATTTTTCGAGTTCACTTTAAATTTTGACAGTTTAGTTTTTACTTGAAAAAAGATCCTGACAGATTTCTTTGCCCGCTTGTTGACCTTTAAAGAGTTTAAATGTGGAGATCCTCGCTGTTCAAGACACAACTTATGCAGTTGACCAATCAGACCAATAACCAGTCGAGAGTATAATAACATCAACTGACGTGATACAACTCACTTTGACTCTGAAGATGACTACCGCACAGGTTGTCGAAACGTCAGTCACTGACAACAACAACAGTCCTATTCAGGACTACGTTCACCCGGACGATCAAACTCAACCAACTCTTGAGTAAGGTGTATGATGGTGACATGTAGGTCACAGACTACTCTCCCAAACTATGTATTTACTATAGATATTATGCATTTGCAGATTCAACAAGTAAAGACTAAAATAGGCCAAAGAAATGATAATTGATCCAACTCTTATAATCGTGACCTACCCCAGTAAATCTTGATTATCTTGCCTAAGAAGTTTAACTGTTCAGTTAATAGGACGGTAAGAATCTCGTTTCCACTTTCTTACGCTTAAAATATTTTTTTCTCAAGGTTAAAAAAAACCTAATGGCCAACGCCTCGGAGATTCTACAGACCATTTATATTGGTGCAGTCGTTGCAACTTTCCTTTTAAACACTGGACGTATTATAAAAGCAGTAGACATCTTTAACGAATGTTTGGCAGTCCTTAACGGTAAAGCCCGAGAGACAATCAAAGAACTTACCACACCACTTGTTATCGATGTATACCATCAACTTTTTGATGGCTATACTCTTATGCACGATCACACCAGAGCGATAGAATGTGGTAAAAAGCTTCACGAGACACTACGCAATAGTGGCCAAAAAGAGGAAGAAGGGTTAATATTGTTTAAACTAGCTAGCATCTACTATCAAAGAGGCAAATACGAGGAAGCAAAGCAGTTTTACGAGAAGGAACTCAGCATCTTGATTGAGACTGGAAACAGTACCATAGTTGGAATATGTTACGGAAATCTAGGAACTGTGTTTCTTTCTGTTGGTCAATACACCAAGGCAGAAGAATACCTTCAAAAAGCACTAGCGATAAGCAAAGAAATCGGTGACAAAAAAGAAGAAGCTACAAGTTACGGAAATCTAGGAGCTGTATTCCAATCTGTTAGTCAATATAGCAAGGCTGAAGAATATCTTCAGAAAGCACTAGTGATCAGGAAAGAAATCGGTGACAAAGAAGGAGAAGCATCAGATTACGGAAATCTCGGAGTTGTGTTCCAATCTGTAGGTCAATATATCAAGGCTGAAAAATACCTTCTAAAAGCACTAGTGATCAGAAAAGAAATCGGTGACAAACAAGGAGAAGCTGCAGATTACGTAAACTTAGGAACTGTGTTTAAATCTGTTGGTCAATATACCAAGGCTGAAGAATACCTTCAGAAAGCACTAGTGATCAGGAAAGAAATCGGTGACAAGAAAGGAGAAGCATCAGTTTATGGAAATTTAGGAATTGTGTTACAATCTGTTAGTCAATATACCAAGGCTGAAGAATACCTTCAAAAAGCACTAGTGATCAGAAAAGAAATCGGTGACAAACAAGGAGAAGCTGCAGATTACGGAAACCTAGGAACTGTGTTTCTTTCTGTTTGTCAATATACCAAGGCTGAAGAATATCTTCAGAAAGCACTAGTGATCAGGAAAGAAATCGGTGACAAGAAAGGAGAAGCATCAGATTACGGAAATCTCGGAGTTGTGTTCCAATCTGTAGGTCAATATATCAAGGCTGAAAAATACCTTCTAAAAGCACTAGTGATCAGAAAAGAAATCGGTGACAAACAAGGAGAAGCTGCAGATTACGTAAACTTAGGAACTGTGTTTAAATCTGTTGGTCAATATACCAAGGCTGAAGAATACCTTCAGAAAGCACTAGTGATCAGCAAAGAAATCGGTGACAAAAAAGTAGAAGCAGCAGCGTACGGAAATCTAGGAACTGTGTTTAAATATGTTGGTCAATATACCAAGGCTGAAGAATACCATCTAAAAGCACTAGTGATCAGCAAAGAAATCGGTGACAAGAAAGGAGAAGCATCAGTTTATGGAAATTTAGGAATTGTGTTACGATCTGTTAGTCAATATACCAAGGCTGAAGAATACCTTCAAAAAGCACTAGTGATCAGAAAAGAAATCGGTGACAAACGAGGAGAAGCTGCAGATTACGGAAACCTAGGAACTGTGTTTCTTTCTTTTGGTCAATATACCAAGGCTGAAGGATATCTTCAGAAAGCACTAGTGATCAGGAAAGAAATCGGTGACAAAGAAGGAGAAGCAACAGATTACGGAAATCTCGGAGTTGTGTTCCAATCTGTAGGTCAATATATCAAGGCTGAAAAATACCTTCTAAAAGCACTAGTGATCAGGAAAGAAATCGGTGACAAACAAGGAGAAGCTGCAGATTACAGAAATCTAGGAACTGTGTTGAAATCTGTTGGTCAATATACCAAGGCTGAAGAATACCTTCGAAAAGCACTAGTGATAAGCAAAGAAATCGGTGACACAAACGGAGTAGCTGCAGATTACGGAAAACTAGGAGCTGTATTCGAATCTGTTGGTCAATATACCAAGGCTGAAGAATACCTTCAAAAAGCAATAGTGATCAGGAAAGAAATCGGTGACAAACAAGGAGAAGCATCTGCTTACGCAAATCTAGGAACTGTGTTGAAATCTGTTGGCCAATATACCAAGGCTGAAGAATACCTTCGAAAAGCACTAGTGGTCAGCAAAGAAATCGGTGACAAACAAGGAGAAGCATCAGCTTACGGAAATCTAGGAACTGTGTTCCAATCTGTTGGTCAATATACCAAAGCTGAAGAATACTTTCAAAAAGCACTAGTGATCAGGAAAGAAATCGGTGAGAAAGACGGAGAAGCTGCAGATTATGGAAATCTAGCGACTGTGTTTCTTTCTGTTGGTCAATATGCCAAGGCTGAAGAATACCTTCAAAAAGCACTAGTGATCAGAAAAGAAATCGGTGACAAACAAGGAGAAGCAACAATTTACGGAAATCTAGGAGCTTTTTTCCGATCTGTTGGTCAATATACCAAGGCTGAAGAACACCTCCAAAAAGCACTAGTGATCACGAAAGAAATCGGTGACAAAAAAGGAGAAGCATCAGGTTACGGAAATCTTGGAACTGTGTTTCTTTCTGTTGGTCAATATACTAAGGCAGAAGCATACCTTCAAAAAGCACTCACGATCAAAGAAGAAATCGGTGACAAAGCTGGTGTCGGAAATTCATACTTAAATCTGGGAAACGTTTGTCGAAAACTTCAACTTAATGCGAAGAGTCAAGAATTTGCTAATAAAGCACTTGAGATAAGTTACGAAATAGGGGACATTGAAATGCAGTTCAACAGCCACCTTTCCATTGCTCTTAACGTGTTAATGGCAGGAGGAAGCATAACTGAACTTATGCGAAATCTGTATGAAAGCATTCAGAAGTGCGAAGAAATGCATGATTTTTTAAGAGCGAAAGATCAATTCAAAATTTCTTTTTTTGATAAGCATGTGTCCCCTTACCTTCTTCTTTGTAGGTTGTTGATTGTTACAGGCAGTTATTATGAAGCTCTTTACGTTACCGAGCTTGGACGGTCCAGAGCACTGACAGACGTACTGTCAGATAAGTACTCTGTGGAAAAAGAGGTATCAGTCAACCCACAGTCATGGATTGGTATTGAGAACATCATGAACAAAAATGCACTTAGTTCTTGTCTTTATGTTTCCTGCTTCGGTCATGATATGTACTTTTGGATCCTCAAGCCAAACAGAATTATAGTTTTTCGACAAACGGGACTTAAAGATAGTGCACATAAAGTGTTTAGAAATCACACATTTGGTGGCTCTCTTGATTTACATAAAGACCAATGCGAAGATCGATCATTGTTTTCATGTGTAAGTCCCCCGCCATCATGCAAACCATCGCAGAGTGACAGCTTCGAATCTTTGCGTCTTATAGAAGAAGAGGAAGACGAAAATCACGACTCTAAACCTTTAACCCTTGCTGATGGTTACAACATGATAGTCGCTCCTGTAGCTGACTTACTCCAAGAATCAGAAATCATTATTGTACCGGATAACTTGTTGTATCCAATTCCTTTTGCTGCTTTAATGGATGATAATGGAAAGTATTTATCGGATACTTTCAGGATTCGTATTGTCCCTTCCTTGACGACTCTTAAGTTGATTCAGCTTAGTCCAGAAGACTACCATAGTAAAACCGGTGCACTGATCGTGGGAGAGCCAGAGATTAGTGATGTATACTACCAAAAAAAACGTCTACAGTTAGACCCATTGCCTTGGGCGAGAAAGGAAGCAGAGATGATTGGGAGACTGCTCGGTGTTCAACCGTTGCTTGGAAGGGATGCAACTAAGCAGGCAGTCCTGAGAAGCATGCATTCAGTAAGTCTCATTCACTTCGCTGCTCATGGTTATGCCGAACGTGGAGAAATAGCTCTCTCCCCTGTAAGCTCCTTCGGAACTCCACACGAAGAAGACTACTTATTAACGATGGCTGAAATTTCACAGGTTCGACTAACGGCCAAGCTGGTTGTCCTTAGCTGCTGTCATAGTGCAAGTGGTCAGATAAGGGCTGAGGGAATTGTTGGAATCGCTCGTGCATTTCTAGCATCGGGTGCACGCGCCGTGTTGGCGGCACTGTGGGCTGTAGAGGACGAAGCTACTATGTGGTTTATGAATCATTTTTACGAGCACCTTGTTCATGGTGAAAGTGCTAGTGAATCTCTTTACCAGGCCATGAAATCGATGAGAGAGAATCGCTTTTCTGACGTCAAGCAGTGGGCACCCTTTATGCTGATTGGAGATGATGTAACATTCAAAGGTTTGTATTTGATATAATTTTTAGGTTTTTCTAGCTGTTTTTAGTCAAAATATGTGAAATTAATGTTCGTGACAACGCATTATTTTGAAAAATAGTATTAAATAAAAGGAGTTATACTGAGTTTTGTTAGTTTCTTTATTGCTGTTTTTTTCTTGTTTTTTTTTTTCCAACCCTGTTCATGAAAGTGAGGCAACCGGAGAGAAGGGTGAATTTTATTTTCCGATTTTCATGGAATATTTCGTAAAGCATACATGCTCTGAACTAAAATAACTAACTAAAATGAAAATGTAGAAAACGATAGTTAAGATTCCAAAGAGCATACAAAAACAATTTAAGTCATAGATAAGAGAAGTAAGTGGCTGTCAAACAAACGTCTTCTTAGGGTTGTACCTGATGAAAGAAAAAAACGTCTACTATTCCAATACGACTTTACTGAATTTTTAGCATATAAATAATTTCCTCAAAGTGTAAAGGTTTGCTATTTGTTTGACTTTGAAAAGAATCTGTGTTAGACATATTATAGGTAAAACATTTAGTGCAACGAGAAAACAGAAGCAAGAATGAGAATTCTTTCGAATGGGAACCGTGATGATTATTTTTTCTATTTGCAGGTGCATTTGATAAGAGCAGTTCGAAAGATGGCGAAGGTGCAACGGAAACAAAGAGCTTGCAAACTGAGACGAAACATGTCGTTTAAGTTGACAACTACTGTCACAGCTGTACATAAATGTATATACCACGGATCTCAATGAAGTAGTCTTGTCTGAGACCCGCGAAAAAAACAGGTGACAATTGTACTTTTTAAAGCAGGCGCCATTTTGATACGTTACAGGCGAAGGTGAAGCATGAGCTAAGCGCGGAGCAAAAACGGGGGGTGACAGCTATAACAAGCACTGTTTCGGGAGAAAAACAAATATATTCCGGGAATCTGGAGATTTTGCCGGGAATCGGGAAACCTGGGAAATTTTGCGGGAAATATGAGATATTTTCGGGACATTGAGCAAAGATTTGATATTACATGTTATCAAACAATATATGTACAGTGATATGCACCCAGTGTATGCGCTTGAAAACGGCTGAACTCCCCATGATATGAAAAGACCAATCAGCAACGTTTCCAACTAAAATAGCATGAGGTTCGAGTGGGATTGACCTCGTGCAATCCCCAGCGGATTGACACAATAACCGTACCAGTGCAAGGCACATACTATCAGTTCACACCAGATCCCATCATTCATTAGTTCCGGGGTATTTTTACGCTGCACGTTAACGAGTTTTAAGAGCACATTCCACTGATTGCATACTGGAAAACTTGAAAGAAGTACGTAAGAAGTATGTAAGAAAAAAACGAAACTCATTTAACCTTGTTAAGCACAAATGAGGCCATCAAAAGTTGTATGTCTGTGAAGACTCTTTAATCATCCTGATCTCGTCGGGGTCCTTCCGATTTTGCTCGAAAATCCCGAATCCCGATCAATATGCGTTCGGGATAGGAAAATTTCAGATTTCGACAGTTGTTCTGAAATTTTCAAATGAATTCTTATGATATTCATACAATGAGACCACACAGAGTGTACTTAGCTGAAAGTGATATCCAGAGCAATTTCAAAAACCGCACAACTTGTATAAAATAAAATTAACTACTTCTACGCGAAGTCACGCCAATAAAAATAAGCATAAAAAGGACAATTGACTTCGAGAATATTTTGGACAGAATTTGTCCTCTCAGAACACTAGAAATGGCGTTTCAGAGGGACCAAGATTTCAAAATTTTCTGGGGGAGCATGCCCCCAGACCCCCCTAGAGGGATTGCCCCCTTCACTGCTCGCCTGATTCATCGGTGATTAAAAAACAAAAAACACGATTTTATATACTCAGAAAGTTTGACAGTCTTTCTGTGTTAACATGACACTCTCTAAACGAAAAAATAACTAAAGTTAGATAATCAACAAGTTACATAATTAACAAGAAGCTGCAAAAAATCTCTAATCAAAATTTTAATTTTAATTGTTAAAACAATTTTGGGAAGTTAAACATTTATGGGGAATGCCACCGAAAAATTCGGGAGGGTCGACGAAATTTCCGGGAGGACATAAAGTTATTCATAGGACTGCCCAAACAGCCTTTGTTAGAGTTGTCACCCCCCGTGCAAAAGAAGAAGGGGTAGGCAGGACCAGTTAGTCATCCTCAAAGTGGAGACGTTAAAATTGTAGAGACCTTCTGAACCTACGTGTACTATATTAGTCAGGACTTCTTTCGTTCCACGTGACGTCTGCTACTCGTTAATCCTGTGCCTAAGCTTGCTTCAAATAAGCTCAATCACTTACATGTCTTACATGAACACAAGTATTACTTTGGTTTGATAACTTTTGTAGAGGTACTGATCTTGACGAACGTGATGAAATGCCACATAGATATCTAAGCTAAGAAAAGGGACGCAAGTGTTCTCTGGAACCAAGTGCTCTTCGCGAGGGGCACACATTCTGTAGGCACTCTTCTTCGAACAGATATTTTACAGAAAATCGTCGTTGGGTACCTCAGCTTTGCGTCAATACGATACTTACGGTATTGCTTTTAAGTTGTCTTTTATTTGCCTAAGATCATTCACCACCCCGATGCTTTAGCGGAAAGTCCTAAATCAATTCAGCATGATGGCGAGTCTTAGAAGACACAAAAAAAGAAAAAGAATAAACATGTTTGAGTCCTCTAAGACTCGCTATCGTGCTGAATTTTCATATACTGAAAGACCTTCCATTAGTGACTGATAAGACTTAACAACTCGGGCACATCATGTATGAGATTGAATTCTTCCGTTTTGAATCAGGCGTTTTCCAATCCTCTGCCCTGCCCTGTCATACCTGCTAGGGCTGATCTTTTTTTTTTTTTCAAGCGTGATCTGACACCATTGAATGGGTGGGTGCTCACTAGAATTTATAAGCAGGGATTTATGGGAGTTGGTCCTCTTACAGCATTATGAACCCGGTTCAGTCATGAAACGGACTTGAGATCTTTAGAATATCGGCAAATTCTAAAGTCTTTCCAGGTATGTCATTCTGTTTTTTTTAAAGGAGCCGGCCTATCAATCACTACAGCTTTTTTGTGTAATTTGTTAGCTTATTTCTATTAGAATTTTACGCCTCTGACTAGAGTTCTGTTATAAATAGTGTAGGTTAGCTGTTTTCTGAGCTAAAGCGCTCATCAAATAACTTTGTTTTCAAGAGAAGAGGTTACTTAGTGAACACGGTTAGTTATTGAGAGTAGACAGACGGCAAATTGCTGTTGCTCGACACATCTGAAAGTTCAAAAAATAGAAAATCTAAAAGCCGTAACTGTTCGTCAGTAGGACGATGTGACTTTCACTTTCCAGTGATGAGTCTCATAATAACAACAAAACATGACCAGCTACAATATTTCAACCTGATTCTTTCAGGACTTGTCGTTAGTGTTCCCCTCCGCCTCAGTGAAATAATTAGAAGCAAGAGCCGAATCAGTTCATTCTCTTTTGTTAATCGGTGGAATGTTGGGATGGAACGCTGGATGTAAAATCTAGCATAGGGACTAGTACTGATTCCTCCGGGATCCGTCCCCAGTCGTCTCACCAGTCTCTCCCCAGTTCACTGTGAGAGAGTTTAATTATTAAAGAGAGAATCGCGCAGGAGATACGCGCATGAGAGCTGGGAAGGAAGACGCGGGAAGACGATGACCTAATCAATTAGACAATGACCTTTGGCAATGATATTTTGTCGAGTTCCAGTGCCAATCTCCCGCGGCCGATTCGAGACCGCGTATGAATGATGGGGAGGGGACCACTAAGGACAAGCCTCCACCGCGGTCAAACGAGAAAAATTTGGAAACCTAAGCAAAGTATTGCAACTTTGAGATCAGCCTTGCTTCTTTCCGTTGTTCAGATATTTTAATTTATAACTGATTACATCCTCTATTAGGATCCAGTGCTTCTATTTTGTAACGTTGGTCCTTGCTTCCAAAACTGAATTCAAAGCTAGGTTTGCTAGTTTTATTTCACTGGAAGCATACAACATATAAGTACCAATGCGCTGTTGATTTACTAACCGTTTTGTAAGTTTAATAAAAACGTTAGAGATGTTTAAGAACTTAAACAGGTGATACCGTTCGTCAGCAAAATTTACTCCGGTGCAAAGCGTTTTCAACAGAAACAAGCTCAATATTTTGCGAAAAAATGAAAACTTTGTTAAATTAAGTCGTCATTTTGTACATCCTTGCCCATCTTTCCATTTAATGACGAACGACATCCCAGACAAAAGTCATACGTCGCAATATTAACACGATGATGCGACTCAAAATAACCGCCATTTTTTGTGCGGGCATGAACGCGCGCACAAAAACAACATTGGCTCAAAACAACCTCAGAACAAATGTTGTGAATGTCCGAGGAATAAACGTCAAGCAAACTCTTGGAGATTCAACACTAACAGCTCCACTTGCTTGTGTTTTTGAATGCCTCAGTTAAGCAGTTAGCAGTGGGACTGATGGGAACGCTGAACGTGAAATCTTGTGGAGGCACTGATTACCAGTCCCAGTCGCCTCGGTTGTCTCTCTCTTTTATTAAATATTAACGGAGGAAGCGCATAGGATATGCGCACAAGGAAAGATGGGAAATAAATATTTCCTCTCTGTTTCCCCTTCATCGAATTTCCGTGCCAGTCTCCCACAGGTCGATAGTGCAATGACTTTTTAACAAGATCACATTTTTCCGCGCATTATGAGAGCTACGGAAAAAGCGTTTTGGAGCGATACATGTCAACCCATATCCCAGAATGAGACGACACATCCGGGACCTTTTAGCCGGTCAAACAAAAGGTAAAACAGCCGAAAATAGGTTAGCAGAACCTACATCAGGCGTGTTAGGGACGCACGTCAACCCAGAGGGCCTAGGTGCCGGGCCTTTACCCTATGCCTTAACGCGAACAAATTTGTACTGCTAAGTGTCCCTAATCTTATGACGATTTGTCTGAAAACATTGGCAAAACGACTAGACAAGAAAGCAAAAAGGTAAACATCCAATTAGGGTCGGTCGCTCACTTGTCTTTCTCTTTTATTAAATATTAACGACGGAAGCGCATAGGATATATGCAGGGAGGAAGATGGGGGATGAATAGTTCTTCTCTCTTTCCTCTTCACCGAATTTCAGTGCCAGTCTCCCCCTGGCCGATAGTTTAATGACTATTAACAAGATCACATTTTTCCGCGTATTTTGAGAGCTAAAGCAAACGCGTTTTTCAGCGACGCCAACAACCCATCACCCAGAATGAGAGGACAAACATCCGGGACCTTTTCAGTCGCACGCGCGAAAATTCAAGTCTATTCTTAACTCCAGTGGGTCAGACAAAAGGGAAAATGGCCGAAAATCGGCTACCAGCACCTACATCAGGCGTGTTTTCGACGCACGTCAATCCCAGCGGGGATAGGTGAGGCCTTTTCCCCAGACCCTAACGCGAACAAATTTGCACTGCTAAGTGTCCCCACACTTTGATTATTGCAACATTGTTTGGGGAAACTGTGGGATAACCTTACGGAATAAGGTTCAAAAGCTACAAAACAGAGCAGCCCGTGTTTTGACCTACTCAAGCTATGACGTAGATGCTGGTCACCTTTTCAAACTTCTAGGGTGGAAAAACCTAGCTTGCCAGCAACAATTTCAAAGAGCTACGATGGTTTACAGGTCTCTACACGGCCGGGTTGGCTCCAAACTATCTTAGTTCTAAATTTGAAAGGCGAGAAGTCGCATATAACCTAAGGGACTCTGAAAATAAACTCAATGATCCATTACCACGCACAAACTATTACAAAAACAGCTTCAGCTATAGTGGCGCCATTCTCTGGAACAGTCTTCCTTGTAACTTAAGGGAAGCAGAGCCTCTTGGGTAATTTAAACGATTACTCAAAGAACTGTAAGGCACGGCATTCGTGGAAAGCAGCTTTTTTATTTAAATATTTTTATTATATTAGTATTAGTTATTTTTAAAGCTGACGAATTTTGTACCGTGGATAAATAAAGATTATCTATCTATCTATCTATCTATCTATCTATCTATCTATCTATCTATCTATCTATCTATCTATCTATCTATCTATCTATCTACACTTGTGACGATTTGTCTAAAAAACATGAGCAAAATCGCTGGGCAAGAAAGCAAAAAGATACATATCCAGTTGCCGTCGGTCGATCCCAAGAAACGCCTGCGCTTGCCTTCAGACGACTTCAAAAAGAACAAACTTGTGGCGTGGTGGGCGCGGTAGGTGAGTGTGTCACATAGACCCGCATACTGTTTGACCACATTTTGATGTCTTGTTTGATAACTGAAAAGACGCAAGAGATGAGACAACTTTTGAAGTCAATTCTTATTAACGACGCTGCGTTTTCTACGTGAGTTAGCATGCTGATGAAGTAGATGTAAACAAAATGGGTCGGTTATTATAATCAACTCTAACTTATACCACGGCTTAGGAAGTCTTTGGAACTCAAGATCTCTTCCTTAGTGGGTTATTTTAAGAAGACAAATTCTTTTCTAGTCTACGCCATTGGCTTTCTTGAAACTGTTCACGAAACATGGTGTTAACATAAAAGCGTTCGGCAACTGAAAATCACTTAGAACGCGGTTTTGTCAAACCCTGGCTAAACTCCGTTTAAATAACTGACCCAATGTGTGTTGAAAAATGGAAGGGAATTTTTTGGTGGAATTTTTTCCTCCAACTCCTCGGACGAAGGTACTGTCACAAGCCAAAAAGGAATCTCTTTTTCGAGCTTTTCGGTTGCTTAATCTGTGAAAAAATCTCATCCTTAAAAACCGAGGGGCAGTCCTGAAGCCGTGCTTGAAAACTTTCGTGGTCTCGTTTCTCCACTGAGAC